TGTTGCTCAGGGGGATGATGGTAAGGTGTGCAGATTGAAAAAGGCAATTTATGGGTTGAAACAATCGCCTCGTGCTTGGTTTGGGAAGTTTAGTGAAGTGGTGAAGAATTTTGGAATGAAAYAATGYCAGGTTGACCACTCAGTGTTCAACTATGATTCAGAAGTCGGAAAGATTTTATTAGTGTTCTATGTGGATGATATTGTCATAACTGGCAGTGACGAATTGGGGATTGAAAAAATAAAGGTCTTTCTGCAAAACCATTAGCAAACAAAAGACCTTGGGACGTTGAAGTATTTCTTGGGTATAGAAGTTGCCAGATCAAAAGAAGGTGTGAACCTGTGCCAAAGAAAATATGTTCTTGATCTGCTGGATGAAACAGGATTGTGGGATACAGTTCTTAGAATTATAAGGTACCTGAATGGAGCTCTAGGCCGTGGGTTATTGTACAAACTAGGAGGAAGACTTGAGGTAATTGGGTATACAGATGCAGATTGGGCAGGCTTAGTGTCGGATAGAAGATCTACTACAGGTTACTGCACATTTCTTGGAGGAAATCTTTTGACATGGAAGAGTAAGAAGCAGACGGTTGTGGCAGGGAGCAGTGTTGAAGCCGAATACAGAACCATGGCACACACTACATGTGAATTAGTATGGCTGAGGAATCTCGTACAAGAAATCGGGTTCTCCATGGACAAACCTATGAAATTGTACTGTGACAATCAAGTTGCACTCCACATCTCATCTAACCCTATTTTTCATGAGAGAACAAAGCACATAGAGATTGATTGCCACTTTGTGAGGGAGAAGGTCCTTACTAGAGAGATAAGCACAGAACATGTGGGCTCAGGTGATTAATGGGCAGATTTGTTTACAAAAGGCTTAAGCTCAGGGAGAGTGAATTATATATGTAACAAGCTGGGATTATATGACATATATTCTCTAGCTTGAGGGGGGGTGTTAGAGCTAGCTGAATAAGGGTAGATTAGAATTTTATTTCTGTTATGTGCTTATGTGGCAGTTTTATTAGAGACTTCCTATCCCATACTTAAGTGGGGGCAGTTTAGTCTTTGTACAACTAATTAGAGGCTAATCTACATTATGGTCGAATGATAAGGTTTAGCTATCAGATTCAACTGTTCTTCCTTCTTCTTCTTCTTCTTCTTTCTCCCTTTCTCTCTACTGGTTCGAACTACCTAAACACAACTGTCAAAACAGAGAGTAAGAGGTAAATTAAGACCGGAGTGAAAACCAGCAGAAGGCAATAAAGTGAAATTGAATTTTGATGGGAGATCCTTTGCAAATCTAGGTCTTTCAAGAGTATGAGTATTCAGAAATTTTTAAAGGAGGATACTGGGTATGTTCTCAGGACCGATTGGCACCGGAAAATCACTGAAGGCTGAACTTTTGGCATTACTACAAGGCTTAAAGCTAGCCTAACAGTTAGGATACAGGCACACTGAGGTGGAAGGGGACTCAAAAGTAGTCATTTCCTGGGCAGCAAACAGCAGCCATACCCCGTGGACGTTTAAACATGTGATTAGGGAAGTAGTGACGATTGCAAAGGAGGTTGAGGCTGAATTTAAATGGGTTCGAAGGAGTGCAAATGGGCTATCTGATTGTCTAGAAAAACAAGGGGCATTGAGACAGCAATTATTTTGGGCTGCACTGTAATGAGGGATAGAAAAGAGTGATTAAAGGGATCATCAGTCCCATCACCAAGTTGTATAAACTGTTTACAATCTGAATTTTAAATAAAATACATGTTTACTAATAAAAAAAAACGTCCAAGCCCTTTTCTTTATCTTGTTAAATCTTCAACACATTAATTTGCCACTAAAATTGATTAATGGTTTGTCTACAAACCCTCAGAAACTGTGAGGTACATATATTAAGGTCACCACTTGTGATTTTTTGATATATAAAGGCACATACTCAGATACTGGTATTTGGAAACTCCTCCACCACCAATAATTTGCTTATGAATAAATCAAACAATATTGTGACAGTAAAATGCATTTGCCACCATATGACATGAATAATACCTTCCAGTTAAAAAGCCCTGCAACAGAAAGATGGTCACACCTTTGGTGCTTTTCTGTATGCTTTCCTGAATCATGAACAGTATCAAGTTCTGCCAAGATTTTCAGGAAGCTCATTGTATCTGAAAGACCATGAAGATCTCCATGAAGAATCTCAAAGTCTTTATTGCATCTAGCACAACAAATGGAAAGATGTTGTCTACAAAAGCATAGATGTAAATCTTGAGAGGATAAAAATTCACCAATAATTTAAAAGAAAATAAATATTTAAAAAAAAACTCACAACGTTGTAAGATTGTTTTTCTCCCTCATTTCAGTGTTTGACAATGTAGTGCATAGACCATGTTCATTTTCGTCAAGTGCATACCAGTCTGGAATGCAGATATCCCTACCAGGGGCTCTTTGTAGTTGATATCCAAGTACTATGGCATCACGTAATCTCCTTGCCCCACTAAACTGCATTTGGACAAGTGAGTTGAAAGCAAAAATATCAAAATCAGTAATAGTATATAGACGTATTAGCAAAGGAGTCCAATCACATTAGTCTAGATCATAGTCTTGTGAGGTATGATTGTGGGATTAACCCTAATCATATTCCAGCATAATGGCCTTCAATCAACTAAAATAAGAAACTATAAAGAGCTTTGCAATTTAATAAAACCCAAGGAGAAGAATAAAAATCAAAACTACTTGCAAATGACGTAAAAATGGAGTATGAAATCAAAATTAATGATACTGAGCTAAATGTTTCATTATGAACACTTGTATTCTATAGGACTATTGTATACTTTTGCATCTAGTCAAGAAAGGTGTTAGAGCTAGCCGAATAAGGGTAGATTAGTCATTTTATTTCTGTTAAGTTATGTGCTTGTGGCAGTCTTAATAGTGACTTCCTGTCCCATACTTAAGTGGGGGCAGTTTAGTCTTTGTACTACTAATTAGAGGCTAATCCATATTAAGAGTCAACTGATAGGGTTTATCCTATCAGGTTTGACTGTTCTCTTCATCTTCTTCTTCTTCTTTTCTCCTGGTTCGAACAACTGTAGCTACAGAACAAACATTCCTCTTTTTTTCGTGTAGAGTGCTGTCACCATGGGTGTGACAGCTGTGGTGGTTGAGTAGGTGCAGTGGTGGTGGTCTGAACCCTCTAATGAGCAGTTTCAAGAGGGATTCTTTGTGGTTTTAAATCTGCATGTTAGCAGTACAGTGGTGGTTGAAGTGGCCGAATGTATACTAAGGCCAGTACTTGGTGATTGCAAGTGTGCTTGTGTGGAAGCTAACGAACTGTAGTGCAGTGGTTGGAACTGTTTTTTTTTTGTGAGTGACGGGCAGAACCGACTTTGTAGACTGGAATGGCTTTGATGGGAGATGTGAGTGGTGACCAGAAAACGAGTGTCATGATTTCCTCTGATTTTTTAAATGTCCAAATGACCTCCTTAAACTTCATGGTGAGAACTATGTACCATGGGTGAAGTCAGTGGAAGTTTCTCTCAAGGCAAAGAGGAAAGTGAAGCATGTGAAGGAAGATAAACCCCCTGCTAACTCTTCAAGATTTGATGATTGGGAACAGGAAGATGCCCAAATCATGACATGGTTATGGAACAGTATGGAACCCAAAATAAGTGCCAACTTTATGTTTTTAGATACAGCTAAGGACATATTGGAACATGCCAAGAAGCTTAATTCTGGGCAGGATAATACTACAAGGGTATATCAGCTCTATCAAGAGTATTTCGATCTACAGCAAGGGAATAAAGTCCTAGAAGAGTACTATGCGAGTATGAAGAACCTTAGAAATGAATTCAATGTCTATCATCCCCTCACTCCAGATGTTAAGGTTCAGCAACAATAGAGGGAACAACTAGAAGTCACTAGGTTCTTAGTGGGGTTGAAATCAAAATATGAATTAGTTAGGGCCCAAATATTAGGGGGCTCTACTCTTCCTACACTTGAGGAAGTGTTTGCAYGRCTTYRTAGGATTTCTTTGGGGYCTAMAGAGAATCCCACACAGTCTGACAGATCAGCATTTGTGATAGCCAGAGGAGGTGGACGTGGTACTCAAAGGGGAGGACATGCCTCCTGAGGAGGTCGTGGTGGT